TGCGCCGAAACTCTTGGTAGGTTAGACGAAGGAACCACATTCATCACCGGTGGTGAATCACGTTATTCCTCGATCAGCGCGCAAAGTGTTTCCGACAGAGGTGATTGAAGCTACTTGGTGGACGTAAAGTACACCTATACGCCACGTGGAGTAGCACAAGCGAACGCAGACGGACGTGATCGCTCCCCTAGAGAGCACAGTAAGGAATGCCGACGCCAACCCACGACACGCCACCGCTCAAACCGACTTGACGTATTTACTACGGAGTTGACTGTGATAGCAAAGAGATATCACGGAAGAAGCAATAGTCCAGCGGAAATAACGGAATTAGGTAACACAGCACACACTGAAGTCGCGCAGCGAGAGAAAGATAGAGAAACACTTATCGCGTAGGTAAGGCCGCACTGACTAGATGAATGGGTCTAGGAACAATGGAGGCCCCGAGCCGATACGTCCCCTGCGTCGCAGGCAGCCACCCCTACTTACGTGTACTAACCCCCGAGCGCTGCCTTCGGAAACAGTCGTCAATGTTCGGATTTCGGTTGTATTCACAGTTGACTCTGGAATATGATTTACTAAACATTTGACTCATTCGTATATTACAAATATATTATTTAGTACCTAGTATACTATGTGCTATATTATAGCGAAGACATTATATTCGCACTTTATGGAAAGTACAAAAAGTGTAGGTAACTAGGACAGGCTTAAACATCACAGATATTATAGCCCGTTTCGTTCAGATACTCAGTCCCTGATATCCATATGAAAGTTTTTATGAGTTTTTTTCGTAGACAGAATTATCCATACACAGAGAGAAAGAGAGAGACGATGCCCACGTGTGACACGAAATTACTATTTTGTATTTGGAATACATAAACGGACGCTTCTGGATAATAGGATAGGAATTAAGTCACCACGTCTAGTTCTTGTGTAATCCGATAGATGGATGAGCGCTCAGGTGGTGCGTGTCAAGGAATAACTGTGGATCTTCGATATTAAATTTTATAGGATTTTTATTTTTTCTCCAAATCTCATACCAACCCATGATTCTATCAGTTACATGGTTAAGTCTACGAACATTCACATAGGCCTATCCCATAATTTAGAAACCAGTTTCTTTTTACCATCGATCGGTACACATCTAATACCTATCTCTGTAGCTTATAAATAAGTTCACATTACCTACGTCACTTTCAGTCAGCGCGGCAGTCATTAAAACTCCAGTAATACCAAACTATAGAAATTGTCGTTAATGTTATTTCAATTATTTTGCTAGAATAACCTAAATCGATAACAAATTGTATAGATGCGTAAATTAAAGTGAATTACGATACGTTATATAGAAACACCATGGAAATAACTCATGGTGGTATGTTCGTGCATGAAAAATTTGTGCGTGGGCGACATGGAAATACGTAAACCTGGAATTTCACCACGTGTCGAAATTCAGGTACAGTGCCTGGAAATCTTATCAAGGGAGCAGACATACCTAGGAATTCTTAATTATACGCTCCTTATAGTAAGTTGAGCTATATTTCTTTTAATCATAAAAAAATAACAGCGAATTATGATAAATTTAAATAAAGTTATTTTCTCTGATATTATTATCATTATCACTGTAGATACACGTAAGACTATAGTAGCTTCCGTGTCAGGCCCCCTCTTCCTCTTCTAGCTTTAACCCTAGTAATAAAAATTAATATAAAAGTCTAGATGAGACCATGATCCCAAGACTAACATCCTGTCAGGGATAACAATTTTTTCCAACGTTACTGACCTATCCCACGCGATACTAAATTCCCGTCTTTGTTCTTAGCTCTGTTGACTTTCCTGGGGACGATATAGGGGTAGTTTTGTTTTAATCTGTTGAACGTCTACCGGCGACCCCAGGATGTCACGTGTTTACTTTTCCCGCACGATTATCCTAATTTCACGACAGCAATGGTTTCGTCATTAGAAACGAATGAAATATTTGTCCTTTACTGCATTAGGTTCTTTTGAGATTAACTTTCGGTTTCTACAATCTTTTTTTTTTTTGTTACCACAGAGAGGAACTCTGGAATTATTATCTCATTAACCATTCATTATCCCACGCACCTGTCCCTACGTGCGTACGTAGGTTGGTATCGGGTTGCAAGCAGGCCCATTTTCAATTTCACATCGGTTACGATATTTTGAAAATCATTCAATTTTTACTACCAATTTCTATAATTTTGCCTTTGGGCTATTCGATATGCAAACGTATTAATTTTTGATTTACGAGACCGGACGTTTCAAAAGATTTACATTTTACGAGTAGCAGTCACTGCTACAGTCAGAACTTGACTAATTAGTCATTAACCAAAAGATAAAGTTCCAATAGCGTTACACAGATGGTACGGTTGATTAATAAACGAATAAAACCTTTGACAAATTCTTTTACAAGCTTCCGGTGTCTGCATCGCAAAAATTTATGATTCTCTCGTCAGACCGGAAGTCACGTATTAGCCGTCGTTGCCCACGCCGCTTACCTTTTAATCACCTGCCCAAGCGAAGAAGGAGAGTGAAGCACCGATATAAAATATAAGATTTGGTAATTTTGTGTCAAAATAATTAATTTCAATGATAATTATGTAGGAGGAATTGGTGAGGATGAAAGTGACCTGTAAAAACAATGAGAGAAATCCATAAAAGCCATATATATATATTATAACGTCTATAATAATAATAATAAGCAAACGGAAGTGTAATAAAAAGTAGAAGTGCAAGTAAAAGAAGTACTTCGAATCCATAGGAGGTGTCGTAGTTGAATCTGTGATGTCAAAGGTCATTTAAATGAGTAAACGGCATTTTAATATCCCGAGGCTATTTCACCTATCGCGCACAATAAGACTCGTGTCGTTTTTTATGTCAGCACTCAGCAGGTGTTCCGATGGCAGGTTTGCGCTGTTCCCACTGTACCTTCTTGCTGTTGTTAATCGACTAGAGATTTTTAATAAGGGAACCTCTTACGGTTACGCCGAGTATTTAAATATGCATGAGAAACAGTTCAGAGAATGAAAGAATTTTGAGGTTATTTTAATTCCCTTGTCATTTATGCCGTCTCGGTAGAACTTTGTTTCGTTGCGCTTATTATTATATATATACTCCGAGGGGACTCATATACGTATCGGTTCATAAGGGTATGGCCCCTCAAAGTGTAACCGATGTCGCGACCCCTAGTATGTATGCAAATAAGGAAATTAACGAAAGTTTATAATAAAAATATAAACTCTACAATCACCATTGCCTGAATATGATAATAATAACTGCAAAGTGACCTATAAGTTTAATCTGGTACGATAACCCCATGAACCTTGGCAATAGGCTAGAAACTAATAAGTAATAATACTCGCATCTCGGTCAACCAGTACTGACCTTTGACACTGTAAGCAGACGCCAAATCTACCGAAGAGCCGTAACAATATTCGAGGACTGTACCGTTTGCTTTGTACTCGTGTATTCAACATTGGGCCCATAAGCCGTGGTGAAAGGGTTCCTGATTCAATGGTAGGATCGGAGAAACGTAAACAGGCGCTTTTCAAGTAATTGGGAAGGACTCTTTAAAATAGCGTTTATCATAAAGACGTTGTGACAGTCGAAAATTATTGAGTAACTGGAATAGGTAGAAAGGTCCGAAAATGTGGGTAGCTCTAGATGCTGCCTATATATGCATATACATTGGGTAATAAATGATGGGATAAAATTTTTGTAATATACAAAGTATGGTCTCGAGACTAATTTTTTTCTTATAAAAAACGTAAATTAATTTATCATTAACACCCGTGTTGTTAATCGTCAAGAAGAACATTACACCGTATTCCTCTTCTTCTATCGTTAGTATTTCTATATCTGCGATTTATTGCCTAAGCTGCTATCGTTTTGACGTGACGTACGGGAATGGCCCACCCGTGTTGTAGAGTTTCTCTAACGAGACTAATATATTCGAATATCATTATTTATCTGGTCCTCTCGCACCTTAGGCACGTCATTCCGTTACCTGCTTCTAATTATAAGCGCCTCTTCTGCGAGGAGTCATGAGATTTGATAAGCGTAAATGATTCACTCGTCATTTTCTTAGATTGTTAATGATCCTCGAGGTACTTTTGTTCCTTCTTGACAGACAGCGCGACGATTTCTATAGCCAATCATAGCTTGCGATTTAATTTAACTATATTGTACATATATTATGGAAAAGTGTCATGGACGAATCTCCTATTTCAAAAAATATTCGAAATTCGATACCACCCAGAAAATATGACTAGTAATTCGAATCTCGGTTCCGCTCAATTGTATCTATCTTGATCCGAGAAAAGCAGATGATTCGTTACGGCAGCTGCGTCAAGATCAGTAAAATCCTAGAGACACGTAAGGTACGGTAAATAAACTCAGGAGACATGTATACATATGAATTTGAAAGCAGTGTTTATCACTTTCGCTTCAACTGTCATCATAATCCAGAGTGAGAAAGAAAAGAGGGAGAGAGAGAGAGAGAGAGAGAGAGAGGGATGAAAATAAATAAGAAGAGACATCAGCATCACAAAAAAAAACAAGTTGCCAGCAACAGAAACCAGTCCTGCCGGCGATCCTATCTTCCCCGGGGCAAATTTCACTGGTGGTGGTAGTCATAGGCCCGGCGAATTCGTGAATGGCAAACGCGAAAGTGAATGGCTGTGAATTTTTGAATGAAGCGCAAGAGCCTTGCTAAAAAAAATAAATAATTTCAGCAGATATCGCGAGTAACGTCGTTCGCATGTAAATAGCGGTATATACATTTTTGCCTCGTAACTTAATAGCTGTTAAAAAATTAATACCTCGTTTAAATTCAATTCCGCCAGTTATTCATTTTCATAACGAGTAAGTGAATTAATGCAAAATTTTTTTCAATAATTTCACAAATCCACTTCTGGAAAGTCCTGTGCATTCGGTTTACAAGTCTGCGGCCACTTGGGGTAGGGAGGTGGTAGAACGCATGCGTCGGCAGTCTCGACTCGGCACAGTGAACAGTCGACATAGGCTCAGTCGGCCGCGACATTCGGTACGCGATACGATAGTGGAAAGCATCAAGGTAGCCAAGTCGTGCGAAATAACCGGCATTGGAGACACGCGTCCATTTTCAAAATTCTATAACCGTCACAAGAGCCCCGAGACGGACAAAGGTCACGGATATAATAAAAATTGCGTAATAATGCTCCGAAGGCTATAGTCAAGTAAGAAATGTTTGGAGGAACTTTTGACACGCAGTGAAGTATCCAAACGATATTGCTGCAAAGAGGATTTGGTCTGTGTGTCATTGGTCTGTTTATACCTTTTTCATTTTCGGTCTTGTACGCGCCAAAGGGATTAAAAAGGTGGGTTTCGTAGCGCGCGTCGTATCATTGGAGGTTAGATTGTCATTATATAAAGCGTGAATAGTATCGTATGTTAAATGGTACCGTCATTAATAATAGATGAGCGAAAGCGGTGTCATCTCTGCGCGAGAGAAGAGGCAGTGGTAATACACGGGCTATCGTAGACATGTTCTCTTGAGTGTACTTGTTACCTATACGGTAGAGATAGGAGTAGCACATGGTGTAAGACAGAGTGAGATTGAGTGAAGTTAAAGGGTGGGTGAGTAAGAGGAAAAGAGACGGAAAGACAGAGATACGTAAAATCGAGGATACGGTAAGTGAAAAAAGAAAAAGAAGTGAAAAGGAAGTAATGCATGGCGATGATGTAACGTGGTAAAACACTTATGAGAGACAGTGACAGACTATTGTGTATAACAATGAACGTGAAGATGATGCTTCTACTGGCTACCGTGATCGGGATCCTAGCTGTGGATCTTGAGGCTAAATATCATCGTGACAACACAGGCCTGAGACATCACAGACATCAGCATGACTCGCGTAAGAATCATGAAATTGCTGAGAGACGATGGGACGACCTTGAATATGATGATTCGGGGTACACCGCTGATAAGGATGATGATTCTTATGAGGTAGATCATTATAGGAATACCTACGAGAGGAACTATAGGGGAAGACAGAAGGATTATTATAATCGATTCGAAGCTAGATATTCGCCCAGAAATCATCATCATCGAAATCGATGGTATCAGGAGGACAAGAGATACAGGAATTCTTACTTGACGTCGCGTAGGAATCATCGAAATCATCCTGGTCGTGATAGGAAGTATTACCATGGTTACAGGAATCACGATGAGTACGATGACGATTTTGATGGCTACGATAGAGCTCGATACGATGACGACGAATACGATACTGACGTGGATGAGTCCCGGGATGATTATTATACCGGAAGGAGGTCTTATGACAGGAACTTTCGTAAACATAAGTTCGGTTATGATTCCAATGATCCTAAGGGACGTAGAAAAGATTGGTATCACAGAATGAATTCGGATGACGACGACGAGGCGGACGATTCCAATGGTCGTCGCAAATCTACCGGGAGCCGTCGTGGCGGCAAGAGAACGCGTGTTCCGGACGATGACGAGAAGAAGGGTAGAGAATTGGGCGATCGGAGAATCAGTGTGAATTCAAATGATTCGACGGACACGAGTGATACTGACATTTGGAATTATCATAATTACAATGATAACGATGCGGAAGATCAGGACTCGGATGAAGCTCTCGAGGAAGAAGACAGTATTTGGAAGGAGGCTGAGAGCGAGGAGGATGACGATTTTGATAACGATTCTTCTAAATCAGAGGCCAAAGCGCCTCTTCGGACTTTTGACGATATCATCAAAAGATTGACCTCGGATGACCCCACTACGCCGGAACCCACGATGAAGAGGGAGTACAGGAACATCGAGATAGAAAAGTACCTGAAACGTGACGCCTATGGGAATCTTAAGTACCAGTCAACGACCACCGTGAAGAGTAGCGAGGAGTCATCGACCACCACCAGGAGTCCGTACCTGACGGCGTCTGTGTCGTCGACGGGAAAGAACGCTTCTGAAAATAAGACCAGATCGCCAAGTGTAGTGCTCGACCATAAAGCCACCAACGTGATCAGTGCAGTGGACAGCGAGAAGACCTACCTCAAGAAGAAGAGTATATCCAAGATGGAGGAGAGTCAGGCAAAGACGAAGAGTCTCGAGCAGGAATACGAGGACTATGAGAATGGCGCCGACAACGAGAAGGAGGAGGACCTCATGAAAGTCGGTGTCGAGGAGGATATCGGTATGCAGGCAGATACGAACGTGGTGAGTGACTTTTTTTTATTTATATTATTCAAATAAATCTAATCCACCGTATATATAAAAAACTATTGAAAAATTCCATTGGACGGTTAAGGTTGTTTCACATGTCGCTTCCTTTGATTTATGCAACAGGCTACTTTGCAAATTCCACGTTTATAAGGTCGAGCCTGTTCCGATCGACCTTGACAATCTAGATTGTGGTAGAGTTTATATGCACGAATATTCCCATATGAGCTTCACTCGAATAGTAATATACACAAGGTGTAAAATAAATAACTATTCTATTAAATGATATACATGGTTAGCAATTGCATAGGTAGAAATCCTCATCCAGACACGTTGAACTCCAGTGCTAGTGGTTCTCTTAAGGATCTTGCGGTTCTGAGAACGTCTGGCCAAGCGTTCGATATTGCTGGTAGATTAATTAAGTCGACGTGTAGATGATCGAGTCTCATTCCACGATCGAAAGGTAGATAAAACGAAGACGCGAAAGAAGAGAATAAGAGAGAAAACATGAAAGAAAAAATTAAAATACTTTCGCTTTCATCGTTAAGTTTTTCACGGAGCCGATAAATACGGCCGTTACAAAAGAAGGACACGAACGCTTTGTTTGTTGTTCGAATCACTGTCGCTGTCTAGAAGAAAGAAGAAAAGAAATTGGAGCGAAGTCGCGTGTTAGCCCGATGAGTTTATAAGAATTGTTTAAAGAATCCAGAGGCACGATCAAAGTCAATGACACTGTAGGCTCTCGTTTGAATAAACCAGAGCCGTGAAAGAGACGCGCTGCTTACTTCAAGGCTGTTTTATATGTAACGACACTTATAACAGTAGCCAGTCAATGTTAAAGGCCAGAAAGCATCGAACGCCGCGGCAGCAGACGACAAAAGTACAAGCAGCTGCCGCTGTCGCGCTGCGCAATTTCGCCCGTAGACATTTTTTGCTTCAATTTACTAAACTCAAACGAGCGACAATCGCTCGACGATTCACCTCGGTTGCGCGTGCGCCCTCGGACATTCTTGCACAAGGATTCCGAGCGTCTTCGGTAATTGAGCAATTCCGCGCGGGTCTCCTTTCTTTAATTCGATTGTAAATATCCGTCTGGCAACGTATACAACCAATCCAGCCACTTCAATTATTTCTTCTCGATTCTCTTATTCCCCCCAATTTTCTTCTTTCTCTCGTTCGTTAATTTACGAGACAGTGACGCGTCCTCGCGCGACCACAACCCAACATCGAGACCCACAGCCAACTTCAGAGTGATCCACCGAATTTCACTGTGCACGTATACCATAGACAACATACCGATTATCTGGAATTAATGAGTACATCATTTAATTATCTTTCAACCATAATGAGATAAATCCAACGCTTCTCGTCGTCCCTGGAAATTTCATACGCTTTCCCTATACGTAAGTAGACGTATGAAGCTCGCATGAGGATCCGCACTTGTATAGTGAGCATACCTACGAATACATATATACTGGCTATGAGAAGGTACGTTATCGTGTTTGATATATAAGGTTGAGCAACGTTGTTTGAGCTACAAGAGATACGCCTTGCGTTACTGTAGCGCCTATGGGGGTTTATGGGGGAACGTAGGTTTAACGTCTCGACTCTTTGAGCTTTGTTCTCTTACGCGTTCCAAGATTAGAATGAATGAAAGATGTTTGGAATGGATGATTCCGGTACCCGAAAATTCGTACGGATAATACCAGTGGGGCTATGGCTAATTAATCCGACACCGTCGAACCCGTGTAACGGTACAGTAGGTGCCAAAAGGAATACGTTGTCAGATGATTTCGATTCGATCTCCGTGATAAAATTTCTGTATAACCTGTCGCGTGCTACTTGGCTACCGCGGCTCTCTTCAATCAATCCGGATCAATCGCTGGACAATTAAATAGTTTTGCTGATGCGTATACTTTGGTACTGTACGGGGAGCTAGGAGGTCAGTAGCTCGAGATATTTATCTCACGTAGCATTCAGCTGTGTGATGTCTGTTGTCGCCGTTTCGAATATTTTTACATTGAGCAATGGCGAAGCGCTCGGAGCGCATCGATCGATCTGCCTTTCGCTCGAATTTGACACTGATTGAAAATCAATGGAGATTCTAACGGGGAACTTTATATACTATATACACTTATACCACATATGTATATGTCACTTTTTGAATAACACTTCTTATGAACTTTCCCTGCTTCTTGCCGATTTTAGCAATTTCATTTAAAAAAAATAGCCAAATTGCTTATCCGGCCGTGGTTCCTTCTTATGTCATTTATTATTCTTAACCAATGAAAGAACGGTAAGCATGAACGAACAAATATCTTTTAACACCCGTTACAAACACGTGGCGACATGCCCCAATCGTACGTTACTCTTAACCTCAAATTGACTGCTATAAGTATTGTCAGATTGTCTGAAAGAAAATTCAAGATAAAAACTATAGTCCAGAGAGTGCGAAATAACACACGAAAGGTTTAATAAAACGATATTTATGGAAAAAACCGAATATTTTAATCTTGGCTTGTGAAGAAAAAGTGATATAAGAAATAAATAGTTTCGTGATTCCGAGAAGTGACTGGCGCGCGCACCCACTGAACTGGCGACAGTCGTGCAACTCAGGGGCTGCGCGGGTAAGCGGGGCTCTACCGTTCGTCTTTTGTTTTGACGCGATTCTATCTCTTTCCTTCTAGGAGATAGACGCGCTGTTACTACCAGCCCCGGTCGCCCCTATACGTATATACATATATATTGTATATTGTATTTACTCCAAGTTCGTTCTGATCTACACTAGGATCTTACCAAGAGAATCTTAACTTGCACTTTGTCCCTTGAATCCTATACTAATGGCGTGTCCGAAGAAATATGTCCGGGGTCGTTAAACGTACCCGTGACGCGTAATCCTGACCCCGGGTCAGCCCCTTGTATGCCTTCACGGTACAACCACGAGCACGTGCGATACACCATACCTTATAGAATCGTAGGAAGCACTTTACACGCGTTCGTTGTACCACGTGAAAATTATTTATCATCGTCAGAGGGTAGACTTCACTCTGACGAAATCATCGAACAACATTCGATTTATACGAATCGAGATTGATGTAACGCATACGAGCTTTGCCATACTGGATGACATTCTACTCCGGGTATTTCCCGGTGCTGCTGCCGGATCGCGCATCAGTTCTAATAATAAGCAAGTCAGGGGTATTTCGATAGGAGGCGAACCGTGCGACCCGTAGGAATCATCAAAAAGCTTCACCGACAGTGACGCGACTGCTGCTGATCTGTAATATCTGATATATATATATATAGAGTGAATTAATGATTCAGGACATATTAAGAAGTCAGAATTTTCATTGACCTCGCGATCTTATTTTGTTTTGTATCCTTTGAAATTTTTATCCTCGAAATCATTACGTAAATCATTGAATTATCATGCCAGTACAGTACGGGCGAATAGGACGTTAGAATGCACATTTTCTGATAAGCTCAAGTCCGTCCCGATTGCGTAGGATTTATTCGTTTTAGAATATATGTGTGTGTATATATATATATATATATATATATATATACGCATACGAGAGACGAAGAATTTACGGTGACAATTAATGGGTCAGTACGTTTATTTCTGTTGTCGATAAACTGGGCATGAGTCATTCTTCCTCCCCGGTCGTAACCGGCCTCGAATCACTTGCTGACTTCAGAGGGGTTATTAATTCGCGGAAAAAAATGTGAAATCATCCGCGAGACGTACGAGAGACAAGGATGCCAGTGAACTCGTGTTTTTCCCGTCGCATATACAGACATATCTGTATACGTGTAATTTTGGGCCTTACAGGCGAAGCGGATCGTCTGCATCAGCTACGTCGGTAGCGTTGCTCGTCGATAAATTTAATTGGATCTTACCTGGTTCGCCACGTAATTTCTGTTTACACTTGGGCAATCAGCACGGATTATCCGCTTCCCTCGAGCTTCGGGTTGGATTCGCTCGAAAAAGAAGCGGAAGGTTAATTTCGTGGCGCCTACTTAATCGTCACGTACGATCCTGGCTTATACAGTTAAATAACACGTTGCACACCTCGCCGCGATTTAATACCGCGCGGATGAAGCCATTATAAGAGTCGAGGCGAGATCCGATTTGAACCTCGTTTGCTCGTTCGATTATTTTTTTTACTTTTTCTTTTAAATGATAAATTGTTTTTCATTTTATTTTTTATTTTATATATATTTTTTCAGTTTCCCCTCCTCTTCCCATCGAGCAAGATAGCTCCGAAGCTTGTTTGCTTTAACGTAATCGCTATGCCAACGGGGTTCGTAATTAGTACGTATGTGTGTGTACGCGATCGTTTCGCGTCTGCCATCTTTTTTTCTTCTTCATTGAATCGATTGTACCACTTAATTGCTTAATAACGTGATTGCGCATGGTTTTCCCCGAACTCGTTATCCGATGACCCCCGGCCAAGCCTCTCGAACTGTATCTACTACTCGCGGCTTATCGTACGTCTAACTGAAAGGGAATCGAGTGAGAGATCACTGTGGAACTTTTATTTTTCTGCTAATTGGTCGCGGCCATCTTCGACGGGATTACGAGCGGGACCATGAAAATCTGACAGGATACACGTTGCCTAGGTCGCAGGCGGCGGCTGGTACCTTTGCTTGGACCACTTTGTCTCTTTTTTTTTTTCTTTCCTCGCCACTTTCCTCTTTATTCCACCCTCTCTACCGCTCAAAGCCTCTTGAGTATGCGGAGTCGGGTATTTTTCCTTTTTCTTCCTTCAAACTCAAAATAGCGTGGCAGGGCAAATTCGAAAGGAAAAACGAGGCAAAGAGAAGAAGTACGGTCTTCGAGGTATAAAGAAAATTGTCAAAGATTCCTGCGTGAGGCCTACATCTCGTGCTTCCACATTTCCTTGGCGGATTATAGAGTGGATGAGCCGGTGGGGGGGGGGGGG